TAATTTTATATTCAAATATCATATCAATATATATTTATATTAGATCGTACAATTATTTAAATTCAAATTTTTTACTATTTAAATTTCAATTCAAAATCCAAACTGTTAGACAAATCACACTTTAATGTTAGACAAATCACACTTTAATGAAGTCATAATAATGAAGGCTATTTCACGAGGATTTTATGAAGTAAAAATGTAGATGATGAAAAGTCATTCATTCATGATATATTAGTAATGGCCGTTTTGGAGATTATTCAAAGAAATAATAATGTAACATTAATGGAGTGTGGAGTTATTCGAGTATTTAATAAAGAAGATTGGAGATCAATTATAAAAATCAGGAGGAATGATGATGAAGATGACGACCAATACACCCCAAATTATATTTTTCTCTACTCTTTATTTGTATTCCTTTTTTTTCTTTTTTTTTCTTTTTTTTGGGGTTCTTTATATTTTTCTTGTAATGTATTTTCCTTTTTTCTTTATTCTATACGATTCTATCTTATTTTTTCTCATTTATGTTGAATTCCGTTTATCTTTATTTATTTTTCTTGTTTTATTTTATTTGATTTTTTGTTCATATATCATATTACACGATATTAGCTTGGAAGCTTTCATGAGTTGGCCAAAAAATTTACTGTTTCGATGGTTTGGATTTTGAGTTGACATTTAAATAATACTCCCTCCGTCCGCTTACAAAGTTTACATGTTTCTATTTTGGAACGTTCAATTACAAAGTTTACATTTCATTAAATACTCTACTTTTTTTCATAAATACCCTTACTTTACATCACATCATTACTTTTACACAAAAAAGTAAGGGCAAAAATGCCATTACACTACTTTTAACTACTCACTATAATTAAAATACTATTATTTCTTAAATACCGCGCCAAAAGTAAATATAACCCTTGTAGATGGACGGAGGGAGTAAAAAAATTTGAATTTGAATAGTTGCATGATAAAAATAGGTGCTGATGTGATGTTTTGAAAGTAAAATTGATTTTTAGTATAACATAAAAAATAAAAAATATGTATTTGATTTGATATTTTTTTGGAAAAAAAATGGGATGAATAGTATATTTAAAATTCAATCGCCCAAACAAATACCGTTTGAAATTAATATAATTATAAAAATAAATTACAATATATGTTTGAATGTGTGTTTGTTTGGGGGATTTTTTTCCAAAAAGATACTATTCATCTAATTTTTTCTTTCGAAAAATATCAAATCAAATATTTGTTTTTTTTTTTTTATATTATATTAAAATTTAATTTTACATTCAAAACATTACGTCAACACATATTTATATCATATCATATAACTATTCAAATTCAAAATTTTTACTATCTAAGTCCCAACTTAAAATCCAAACCCCAAAACAAACGTACCCTTATGCTATGTTTCAATAAAATATGTTCCAAGATATTTATTTTATAGTAAATAAAATTTTATATGAAATTCATAATATATGAGTGTTTGTTAAGTATTTTAAATTTGATGTATTTATTTATTTTTTTTTTAAAAAGTTAATGTATGTAAAATTGTATTAAAAATATAAAAAATAATATTTTGAATTAAATACTAATTTTAAAAAAAATATATTTATAAGATATATATATATATTTAAAATGATGTCAGTAAAAAAAGAAATACTATTATTGAACTTTATACTACTTTTGTTCTACTATGAAATATTTTTTAAAAATTTTATAGTAAATTAAAAATAATATTAATATTTTATTGATTAGCAAAAATATATACTTCCTCCGTATTTTAATCATTTATTCATTTATTCATTTTCGTCCGTTCCATAATAAAATATCCATTTTTTTTTATAGTAATTGCATAATTTATCTAATATTACAAATACTCTTCCAATTTATAATATATTATAAAAATATAATTATCTTTATATTATACAATATTAATAAGAACAATTTAGTCCTTTTTTTTTATACTATATTCTAATATAATATTAATATTTTTAAAATTTTATATAAAAAATAAATAAATATATAAATATGGGCGGGAGGAAGCAATATAGAGTGATTAAGGATATATTTGTTACCAAGGTCAAGCTAACTCGAATCAATAGTCCAAACACACCATTCTATCCATTAGTTAGGGGGGATAAAATACAATAAATCAAATTTTCAATTATTGTGCGTGACGCACCCAAATCGAAAATTCAAAAAAAATATATATATATATATATATTTAAATAAGAAGGAAATATATTCTGACAAAGATCTTGACCACACATCACGTGGATAGATCTGCGACGTAGCCTAGGTAGATAAGGGGACCACGGTCCTCCCAGCATCCCAAGTCCCGGCCCCCTCCGGAGCTCATTCCTTTCTGAAATTACATCTCTGTCCTCACCTCGCTTGACAAGATCCAGCCGAGGATTTCATTCACCATTACAAATGTCTCACGTAATCATTACCCAATAAAATAATAATAATATTATTATTATTATATTACTATTATTAAACCTTAATGGCTGTGGTTGTTTTATCGAGACAATGTATATCTTATTTTATTAAGTATGCGTTAATCAATGTTTGTACGTGTGGGGAACTGCAGTTTACTCATAATATCTTATTTTTTGAATGATTATCTCTTTTTTTTTTTATTTGTTAAATTTATATATTATTTATTTATAATTTTATTATTTTTATTTTAATAAATAATTCATTTTCTAATGTCCTATTTGATATTACACGATATTTTTAGGCAATTAGGATTTTTATTATAAAATGATAAATTTGTCCTTAATCTTGTGTATAGAAAATGAAAGAGTAAATAAAGTAACGGTAAAATAGTAAATTTTGTGTATAAAAATAAAAAGAGGATAATAATTGTTGGACATTCCAAATAAGAAAGTAGAACGTTAGTTTGTGGACAGAAGAAGAGGAAGTATATAATTTATAATTATTTTCTTTTTATATTAATTTAATTACAATCAAACAAACTACAAATCGTTAAAGATTTACATTATATTCTAATATTTCTTTTCGTTATTGTTATTTAATAGCTCAACACTACCAATTTGTTTTTTGCGAATTTAATTCTATTATTAGTCTTTGATTTTTCTTTTCTAATGTAGCGATTTCAATATATGTTTTTTTTTTTTTTTTATATATATATCAAATATGATATTTAACAATTATTTTATTTAAAAATAAAATAAAATACTAACAAATAAAAATTACCAATAAAAACACATTGCATACATTTCATATATGGCTAAATATATTACTCATTTCCTCCCATTCCCATTCCAAATGTGCGTTAATAATTTGATTAAAAAATAATAATATTCTATTAATTATAAAAATATTTAGGGTGTGTTTGTTTGAGGGTTTGGATTTTGAGTTGGGATTTGAATAGTAAAAATTTTGAATTTGAATAGTTGTATAATGTGATATAAATAGGTGTTGATGTGATGTTTTGAATGTAAAATTGATTTTTAGTATAATATAAAAAATGAAAATAGGTGTTTGATTTGATATTTTTAGGAGGAAAAAATGGGATGAATAGTAGGATTAAAATCCAATCCCCCAGACAAACACACCCATTATATATTATATTTTCAAATAATATTTTTGGAGAATTGTACGAAAAACAATCATTCATTTTTTTCACCTTTTTCAATTATTTCATTTTTTTTTGTAATAATATTATAAGTACTAGTATTTAGGAAATACAAGTAAAATAATTACATATGATAGAATATTTGTAAAAATGGGTTTATTTGTAAGATTATAATTATGGTTTTTAATTTTGAATTAAAATAATAGTTTAATATGATATAAATATCTATTGATATATATTTTGAATATAAAATTAAATTTTAATATAATATAATAAATAAAAAATAAATATTTAATTTGATATTTTTAGAAAAAAAAAATAAAACAGTAAAACTAAATACAAGATCTTACAAGAAAACACATGCGATCCTAAATTAAACATAATAGCAAAAATATTTGTAACATACTATATTATTTAGCAATATAATTTTAAAAATACAATAGGGTGTGTTTGTTTGGGGGATTGGATTAGATTTTCACTATTAATTTCATATTTTTTCTCCAAAAATATCAAATCAAACACCTATTTTTTATTTTTTATATTATACTAAAAATCAATTTTATATTCAAAACATCACATGAACACCTATTTATATCACATCGTACAATTATTCAAATTCAAAATTTTTACTATTCAAATCCCAACTCAAAATTCAAACACCCAAACAAATACACCCTAAATACCTAGGTAGTGTGGTTAATGATTGAAATATAATAGTCCTTAAAAGAATGACTTGGTAGTATGAGCTAGTTTTTAATATTGATTTGAAATGAAATGTAATTTGAAATTTTTTTAATATATAGTATATTTTCATATAATATTTTATAAAATAAATATTATATTTTGATTGTAAACCATAAAAAATAAATAAATAGATGTAATTTCAGTTTCAACCAAACAGACCCTTAGCTGTTCGCTAATCCTTAATTAGTTGGTCTAAGGAGCTGTTTGGCTGTATCATTTTTCTTAGGATAATCTTGCTTAACTATCACTTCAATTTAATAATAGTAAATAATAATAATAAATCTATGCAGTTGAGTTGAGTTTGAGAAGAACAGAGCCAAAAACATCCTTAAAATATAATCCAAACAGACACACAGACCTGAAACAATCCAATCCAAATCCAAACCAATCCCTTCATTACGTAACCCCAAACAAGACACAGTGGATTCAGGTACGGTACCCATCAAAAGCATCGGATTCCACCCCACCCCACCCCATTTCTGCAACCATACAAATACACACACCCAATTTACGATTCATTCAAGTAAAACAATTTCTATTTATTACATAATAAATAAATAATTAAAAATCAAGAATTTTATTTTATTTTATTTTGCTTATAAATTGCAGAGCTACTGTGGAGGAGGATTCTTCCTCAGTGGAGCTTTCATCCACCAACAACCCAAAGATACACTCTTTATTTCATAATTAATATTCAACAGTACACATAAATACACACACATATACATACACATACATACATACATACATATATACATACATATATACACCCCCCCTCCCTCACCAATTCCCACTAACCCCATCTTTTCTCTCGTCTCTTAACTCCTCCACACTGGTTTCATTTTTTATTTAAAAAAAAAGAAAAAAGAAAATAAAATTGCAAGGATAGAACAAAAAGAAGAGCTGTTTGTTTTCTTGTTTGTTTGAAGAAGTTAAGGAAGGAAGAAGATGTTTGCAGCAGAGAATGGGTTGAAGGGTGACCCAAGATTGAAGGCCATTTCTGATGCCATTACTGTTGTCCCCAATTTTCCCAAGCCAGGTCTTCTTTCTTTCTAATTTTTCTTTTTTTTTTTTTTTAAAAAAAAAAATTATATATATATATATATATATATTGGGGATTCTTCTGTATGAGGAGAATATGCTACAGGAAGATTCAATTTTTTTTTGGCTATTTTATTCTGCAAGAGGAGTGTGAAAATAGTTCTGTATTTTTCCCCCTTTTTTTTTTTTTTTTTTTTTAATTTTGTTGTGTAAGAATGGTGGCAGGTATTATGTTTCAAGATATTACAACCCTTGTCTCCAATCACAAGGTCTTCAAGCATACTGTTGATATCTTTGTCGAGAGATACAGAGACATGGGTATCTCTGTTGTTGCTGGTAATGTACTAAATGTCCTTTCTCTTTGCCCTAATTTCTCTTCGTTTCTGCAAATTCGAAATTATTAATCTTAGGGTTCTTGATTGCTTCCTCTGAGATTTGCTCTGTTCTTGAGAAAAAAAAAAAAAAGATCCAATTTTTATTCCCTTTCCGGGCTTTCATTTCTTGCTTTTGGGAAATGATAGTTCTCTTTAATTCGTAACATTTAAGGATGTAAAAAGTCGAAATCCTTGGTGGTGATGATGATTGTCTGTCTGAATTTCATTAATGGTGTTGTAGGTGTTGAAGCAAGAGGCTTTATATTTGCATCTCCAATTGCATTGGCTATTGGTGCTAAGTTTGTCCCTCTCCGGAAACCTGGGAAACTTCCGGGTACATTTTTCGACCATTAATTATATTCGGATAATGTAGCTCGAAATCGAGGAGTTTAATGTTGTAATTTGAAGTCCTCAAGATGTAAGAAAAACAGGAATGAATACATTGTTTTAATTTGTCCAGGCCAAGTTATCTCCGAAGCCTATGATCTCGAATACGGCAGCGATTGTTTGGCAATGCACGTTGGCGCCGTCGAACAGGGCGAACGTGCGATCATAATCGACGATTTAGTGGCAACGGGAGGGACATTGTCGGCCAGCATGAGGCTTTTGGGTAAGAACCTGAATTGTTTCCAAAATCCTTACACTTGGCAATAATTCGGACAACGTTGTCTCTTTATTGTCCCAGAGCGTGTTGGCGCCGAGGTCGTCGAGTGCGCTTGTGTCATCGGAGTGCCCGAAGTTAAGGTAGATCCTTTGCCCCAAGATCGGTCAATCCATCCATCCAGTTTGATAAATGATCATCTCATTTAAAAGTTTTGTCGGAAACTAATGACCGTCTCACCTAAAAGCTCGAACTTGTTAGGGAAACTAAGCCATTAGTTACATATCCCGCAAACGGGAGTCCTCAACACGCCCCCTCAGGTGCAAGTGGGTCTGCGAAACTTGCACATGCATATGCCACAAATGGGGACGGGCGGGACTCGAACTCGACATGGTATCAGAGCCTAGGCTAGGTCTCGAGTTCGAGTCCCGCCCGTCCCCATTTGTGGCATATGCATGTGCAAGTTTCGCAGACCCACTTGCACCTGAGGGGGCGTGTTGAGGACTCCCGTTTGCGGGATATGTAACTAATGGCTTAGTTTCCCTAACAAGTTCGAGCTTTTAGGTGAGACGGTCATTAGTTTCCGACAAGTTTAAACTTGCAGAGAAAGATATCATTAATTACATGTTGTATAGTTTTCTTACACATCACGTCCCAATAATTTCGATTCATATGTTGTATCTTTTCTCGCAGGAACGAGGATTGTTGGATGGAAAACCGCTGTACGTTCTAGTGGAACCTCGTCAATAGGTACGGTACTTTCTTTCTTTCAATCCATTTTCGTAAATCCTTAACCTTGACAATGTGGTAATAGAATACATCATTTGAATTTTAAATAACCATTTCATCTAAAAAAAACTCAGGGTAAAATTGTTCATAACTTTCCCAGTGTTTTGAAATTTAGCTTAAAATCTCACGATGCTACTTTATACTTTAAAACACCCCACTACCATGTAACCTCCCTTGTATATGAGAAAATGATTTTCTATTTATATGTTTGCATAACGGGGGTTTTATACAATATTTTTGAAAATATAAGGAGGCGCCATATAATTTTTTAAAGTAAAGTGGGGATTTACGCTTAGTTTCGAAACGAAAAAGGGGTTTCATGCAACATTTTTTAAAGTATAAGAGGGCGCTTTGCAATTTTTAAAGTTAAGAGGAAATTTAAGCTGAGTTTCAAAATCACAAGGGAGTTATCGCAATTTTGCCAAAACTTAATATTGAAACTTAGCTTTTAGGTGAGAACCGACACGAGGTTTTATCGTTTTTATTGCATTTTATTGCACGCCCCGCCCCCCTCAATTAAATTCTAACTCTACAAATAAACGCTCGCGCGGCTGTGGTCCTCGCCCCTTTTTATGACATCATTCGGAGGTCCACCCGTGTTATGAGCTATACAGCGTTGTATTTGTACATTCGAACAACACATCCTCTGGTGGTCCTTACACGAAGATATCTTGCACATGTTCGATGTACACTTTTGTTGGCAATCGCTTAATTGCTAATCGTGGTTGTTTAGATTGTCGGAGAGCTGGCGCCGGGTTGTTGCAATAACATTTTTCTGAATGGGTTGTTGAGGAGACGACGTCGACGATGCTGTCTTGGCCTCGGCCCACATTGCTGGAAAAACAGAGCTTTTTTGCGCCGGGTGTTTTATGTGATCACTCGCTCGGTTGATAGCATTGTCTTTTCCGTTGCAAATAATTTTCGGGATATTGTAACGTACTGTGTCGTACCATTTTTATTTTTATTTATTTTTTTCATTTTAATTATGAATGAGAAAATTTTTTCCCTCCTTTGTATTCAATTTGTATCTTCTTCTTCGTTCTTATTGTCGACATGGTGGATGGAGAATGGATTTGTGTTACTTTGATGTTTTGCGACTTGTGATTGTATTGGCTTTGAGAATGGAATTGGTTATTTATTTATTTGTTTTTTTGTTGGGGGTAAACTATAGCTATGTTAGAGAATGGCTACGATTTACAAAAAAAAAAAAAAAAAAAAAAAAAAAAAAAAAAAAAAAACCTCTTAAAAGCATTATTCGAATAGTAATTACGAAAATGAGTTAGCGGAGACAAAATTCAAATAAAATTGAAAACAATATTAAACCGAATCGTAATGAGAAAATAAAATCCAAGTAAATAGGCCTAAAGAAATCAATTCAGGATTACTCTATGTCGTCTATTTTTGCGACAAAACAAATTCAATTATGTAATTCCAAAACCATGGCTAACTTCGAAGGTTCCCTAATTGGTAGATATTTCCATGTTCTTTTGACTTTAAAAATTGCATAGCGTCCTCTTATACTTTAAAAAATATTGTATGAAAATTTTTTTTCGTTTCGAAATTTAGCGTAAATCCCCAATTTACTTAAAAAAATTATATGATGCCTCCTTATATTTTCAAAAATATTGTATAAAACCCCCGTTATGCAAATATATAGATAGAAAATCTTTTTCTCATATACAAGGGAGGTTACGTGGTATTGAGATTTCATGCAACATTTTTTTTAAGTATAAAATAGCGTCATTCTATTTACAGGGAGATTATAAGCTAAATTTCGAAACAGGGAAAATTATGAACAATTTTACCTTGAATTTTTTTTTTTAGATGAAATGGTTATTTAAAATTCAAATGATGTATTCTATTACCACATTTTAAGGTTAAGGATTTACGAAAAGGTATCGAAAGAAAGAAAGTACCGTTCCTATTGACGAGGTTCCACTAGAACGTACAACGGTTTTCCATCCAACAATCCTCGTTCCTGCGAGAAAAAATACAACATATGAAGGCTCATACCCAGGTGCTAAATGATCCGAGGTAACCGTGCCGCAAGGTGAAGGTCGGCGACGTCTCTCTAAGCCTCGACACCAACCGAAATCCGCACTCGAAAAGACTTCTACTCTCATCGAAATCACTTCAAAAACCCACCTGAAACTACATAGGAAAAACTCATTTTCTCTATCTAATACTCCCTCCGTCCTACATAATTTGTCCCTATTTTCTATTTTCGTCCGTCCCACATAACTTGTCCTTTCTATTTTTGGAATTATAATTATACACTTTAATCGAATTTTAAATTTTAAATTTTATAATTTTCTTAATTTTAATTAAACTATTTACTTATTTTAATCTTAATCTATAATTATTTTTACTAAATAATAATTATTTTTACTAATATACTTCTTAATTACTTACTAATTATACTTTACCTAAATTCTCGTATCTACAGTAATACACCCATATTATATGGGACGGAGGGAGTATCAAACTACCCAAAACTAGCACACAATTATAACAAACCTCACAAATGGGTTAAGGATTTTAGATTGGGCTTAGGGTTTGATATATAGGTTGGAGAGTTGGGTTTCGGTTAAAGGGTTTGGGCCAAATTCGGTGGGTCGGGCTATGAAGTGGACCAACTAATGTATTATCAAGGGAATCGTTGGATTAGGCCTCAAACGACCAAAATTCCAACATACTTCATTTATTTTGACCGTGATTTAACCAAATCTCAAATACATACGTACTAGATATAGATTTACTATGCACTAATGGGTTTGATCATCGTCTTTTGTCTTTTGCTGCATTCACGAATGTAGACAAAACATAACACATAATCTCCCCGTCTGTCTGTAAGGGTCACATTTACCTTTTGTATAATTGTACTTAACATTTAAAATATCCTTATATTTGTATAATTTTTTGTACAACTGCCGTTTTATTAGTATTATAAGATATTAATGAAAGTATTTTTGCAATTTTTTCTTAATTTGTACTACGTTTTGATATAATAATTAATATTCAAAGATCAACACCCAAAAAGTAAATGAGACCCTTAGAGCCGGAATAAAGATAATATTAAACAAATAAGTCCTATAACACACACTTGGATTAAACACATAGCAACTTACACGTACACACAAATACTACACAAACAAATATATAAGTAAAATTCATTATATACAAAAAAAATATATAAGTAAATTTAAACAGATTCAACATAATGAATCTACAGATTCCAAGTAAGCACACAAGTTAATAAACAATGACCACACATGCACATTCACAAAGAAAATCAACAACATGCCCAATACAAAAATTTAAAATCACATAACATGAGCTCCACCTTATTTGACGTCAACTAGAGAACATTAAGCACTAGACACAAAAAATATCTTAGATACTAAACTCTACGGCTCTAGCACACACTTCTACGGGCTAAACTCAAAGTACTACGACCTACACACGTAAATCGATCGACCGCTACCACTAAAAATTTTCGAAGACTCAACCATTCGGATATTCTACCTAGAAGAACATTAAGCAATCTATGAAGAAACCTAAAAAAAAACTCAACAGTTAGGAGAAAATTTAGAGGACACTTAGCATCTAAAAAAAACTAACCCTAGAAGAACTACTAAATAACTAAGAGGAAAACAAAGCACTAAGAACCTAATTCGACCGAACACTGCTACAATGGATACCCGGGAACATAATCACAAAAGAAACAATTAGTCCACAAAAAATTAACATGTAATCCAAGTAATAGTTATTATCGTCAAAGATTCACATCAATTTATAAGAACAAATATCACCTTAATTCAAATAGACCCTAAATGTTTCTCTTCTGCATCAGCTGTCTTTCAATCCCTGTCATCGATTTCTCAAATTTTGTGTCCATATTTATGTCATTTGTTTGTGTTGCTAAGTAGACTAGTGGTGCAACATCATTTTGGAAGATGACGTTTCATGGGTGAAGAGATAAATGTAGAAGTAAATAAAATTATTGATCGAATATTTTCGTATTTTGGATTGAACTGTATTGTTCATGGCCCCCTCTATTTTCTAGATGATTTCTATATATTTTAAGAAACATAATCGCGTTCTATCATCGGCCATTTGTTTGCTTGCATCTTTTTCTTATTCAAACGTAATGTCTTTCTTTTCATAAGGTATCATTTTATTATTTATTTAGTTATTCTAAATATATATTATTGTGTAATGATGTAATTTTCAGAATTTTATTTATCATATTTGAATTATTTTGGTATATATTTTCTAATTTATGTGATATTGCATTTTCTTACTGCTATATTTATATTTATATCATTTTGCTAACAGTAGTTCCTTGAGTTAATATAATTTAGTTTGCTTTAAAAATGTTCAGAAACTTATATTTGTATTTAGGAGCTTATATTTGAATTAATATAATAATTAGCATTATCTACAATTTATATTTATATACACACTAAGTGAAATTTTAACGTAGGTATTTTTTATTTGGGACTAGACAGTGTTTTGTGATATTTTCATATCGAAATGAATTGTCTTGCCCCAGTAACGATCGCCTACTTAATCTTCAATTCACAATTCGTTCTAAGCATATTTAGAATTGTGGATTAACTGATAATAAGTTTATTTTCTTGTTTGTTTGAAAAGATATTGAACTAGTTTATCTAAATTATGTTATCTTAGGGTCATTGAGATATTAAATTATATTGAATTTTAGGAAGTATATATAGTTGGACATATTAAATATGATCTTAATCTTTTAACAATATTAGTTGAATGATAACGTCCTGAAAACACATACATTTCATTTCACATTCGGTGATGCAATAGTTACATTAGCAGATGTTGTCATGATATATCGATTACCCATTGGTGGTAAGCCTATTATCAATGATGTCATATCTTGACAAACCATAGAGCATTTTTCAAAGATTTGTATGAATTTGTTACAATTGCCACTTAGCCCAAAATACACATACAGTGAATTTTGCATTATACTTTAGAAGATTATTTGAAGAATGATGAATTTCATATTGATGATGATAGTCTTAAAGAAAAAATAGAGTCTTGGGCATGTGAATTTATGTTACTAATGTTTATGGGTAGCATATTTTCGATTTCAGATGGTATTAGGGACATGTTAATTCACTTGTCATATTCGCAAAAACTTGATTTTTTTTGAAAAGTATGGTTGATGAAGTATTTGTCTTGCGTGTCTATATTATAATATTTTTAGTGGTTATTGGAGAAAAAGAAAAAAAAAATTAGTGACCCCTTACATTATAACAGGTATATTTTTATAAATTCTTGACTTCTTAAATTTGTTTAGTTAATACCATTTTTGTTGTTTAAGTATTTTATTTATTTTAGATTTGAGCATAATCTCAATTAGGCATGTTGGCTCTTCGAATTAAATCAATAAACCCTATTAGTGTCAATCTTTTAATGTTTGCTAATGGTGTAATTCTTTCCGTTGTGCCTTACGGAGCTAGGTAGACGACGATTAGGGTGTTGACAAAGATCAAATCAACACCAAGTTAACAAACCAACATGAAACAATTAACCATTCGTTACAGAACAAATATTTAGTACAATAACATGAAACAATTAGTATTTCATCAAAACGTAGATAGTAATGATGTGTTGTTATATAGTACTACTATATAATACTTGTTACTTTCTTTATAAATATTTGTTGATTAAGTCAAATTACTTAGGGATGGAGAAATTTACCTAATATATCGAAATACCGACTTATTGTACCGTATCGTGTCGAAAATATCAAAAATTTCGTTACAATATAGATATCGTACCGAAATTTTCGGTATGGTATCGGTATGAATTTTTGAAAAGTTCGGTATTTCGATACCATACCGATATTATTTGTATTAAATAATTTAATTATTAATATAAACAATAATTATTAAATTTTTAAATAAAAAAGATGCATACTACTGAAAATTCATTTATTTATTTTCATAATATTTTTTGTTGTGTAAAATGGTGATATTTATTAATTTTGTATTAATTATTTTGAAATTAAAATTAAATTTTTGGTATAATCGGTATATACCGGTATCGTACGGAAATCAAAATTTTTGGTATAAACGGTATATACTGGTATCATATTGAACTTGAAATTTTCGGTAGAAGCGGTATATACCGGTACTGTACTGAAAGTTTCAATATACCGAATTTCGGTATGCCGAAACTTTCAATATGGTACCGATATGTATTTTCATCATACCGAAAAGTTCGGTACGGTATCGACATTGATCGGTATTTTCGGTACGGTACGCCATCCCTAAAATTACTGTTGTGCTTAAATTAAAGTATATTTTGGTGAAATTAAAATATATTTTGCTGACATATAATTATATAATATATTATTAAAATATATGTTATGTATTATACTGATATTTGCTACTTTCTTCATAAATATTTGCTAATTGAGTCAAATAAGCACTATACTATGTTGATTTAGTCTAATCAATGCAGTAAAAGTCTAACCGAGTATAGCTAGGTAATGTAAATTATACAAAAATTATATATATATTAATTAGAATATTTTATATTTTTCAACATAATTGATAATTTGTTATTATAGATGAGCTCGTGATAAATATGATGTGTGCTATTATCGGGGATGTGCTTGATTTTACAAGTCCAGTTTATATGATAGCATCTCATAAAAAATAATAAAATAATTTTGTCCCAAAAATAATACTTCAAACCCTAACTTTAGGTATGCTAAGAAAGAGCTCAATCCTTTTAGCTACATTTTTTCAGCTGTATTTTTCTGTAGTGACCTGATATAATTAAATATTAATATGATTTTTTGAATTTTAAATTAATTTTATTATATTATTAAAAATAAAAATTAATATTTAATTTAATATTTGTAAAACCTTTTTATAAACAATAAATTACGTTTAAATTGTTTAAGATAATAGAATATATATAATAATATCTATATTATGTGGATGCGGATATTATATTTTTTTTAATATTTATTAGCAATATATCAAAAAAATTTGTTGTACGAACAAATATTTTTATACCGTTCAATTTCAATAAATCCCGTTAAACTATTATTCTAAAATAGTAAGGCCTGCATCCAAAAATCTAGGGGAAAATCCTACCCGTTTAGTGAAGATCCTATTTTGCCCAATGGGTTTACCCAAGCCCGTTTATTCATACGACGCCGTTTTGGTTGCCTAACCAATGCCTATAAATATCCGACCCAACCACATTATGAAATCTCTTCTGCTTTACTGTTTACTTGCTTTGCCGCCAACTTTACTCCGAAATCCTAATTCAATTCTATAGAGTTTGAATTCCGAAGAATTGGTAGAGATGGTGCTCGCGCAGTTAGGGGGAAGCATTACGCGCGCTCTCCAGCGGATGAGCAACGCCACCGTAATTGACGAGAAGGTGCTCAATGATTGCCTCAATGAGATCACCCGTGCGCTTCTCCAATCCGACGTGCAGTTTAAGCTCGTTCGGGATATGCAGACCAGTATCAAGAGGATTGTAAATCTCGAGGAGCTCGCCGCTGGGCATAACAAGCGCAAGATAATCCAACAGGTGAGCAGAGGGCTTCTTTAATCAACTCCGTATGGCACGCGAGAAAAAAACTAAAACCTTGTCGTTCGATAGAGTTTATTCGCTTTATCTTTTAAGGGAAATCATTGAGGATATGTTAGTTAGTTTGAGTTGCTTTATGAATGTGCTAAGTTTTTTGTGTTTGTAGTTTTAATGAACCGTGAATATAGAAGAAGGATGTTGATTTATATATTTGCTATTGCTTTTAGTTCATATTATTGTAAGAGTAATTTCAGCAATCCTGTCAATGTAATGTTTATTACTGGAGTTGTTTTCTAAGGATATTTTCAGTTTCCTCTTCGAAGATGCTTTTAAGCTTTGACATTGGGATGATAACTAATTATCCACTTGTGATTAATGGAGTTGTATCATGGAAAGCAACTGAAAATTCAAGATATTTGATTTTAAGAAGTTTTTATTGTAATTTAAAATGCCACCTGTTGGTTATTTTATAGTTTATTGCATATCTATCAAGATTGTTGGATTTTTCTTGATTACTCCACAGAAGTTTTCATCAGCTTATTTTATGTTGATAAAAGTTGTGTTTCATTTACAGGCAGTTTTTAATGAGCTATGCAAGATGTTGGATCCTGGGAAGCCTTTGTTTACCCCGAAAAAAGGGAAAACTAGTGTTGTTATGTTTGTTGGTCTGCAAGGTATGCTGTTATCAACTTATTATGAGAAATTTGTTCTGATGATTAATTCCCATTATACTGATAGGATTCAATCATGTGTTGTGTTGTAAGGAAATCTAATCTTGTTTGACCGGCATTTAGTCATTTGCAATATATAAGTAACTGATTTGGAGATGTTATACAAGCATTGAAGCAGTAGATGTTGTTATGAGAAATAATTTGTTATTTTATGATTTGGAGATATTATACAAGCATTAAAGCATTAAATGCTCTTTTGCAATCTAGGTTCTGGGAAGACAACAACATGTACAAAATATGCATATTACCACCACAAGAAAGGATGGAAACCTGCTCTGGTTTGTGCCGATACATTCAGAGCTGGTGCTTTTGACCAGTTGAAGCAAAATGCAACTAAAGTTAAAATTCCCTTTTATGGAAGGTATATTTTTTTTTCTCCATTATTGTATTCTTGCTACTTTTTCTGGTGTACAGATGTTGTATGAACAGTAGCAGTTGGCCTTACATCCCTAATAAAAATGAGGAGTGAAAACACTGAAGGAATTCCTTGTCATTGTTTTCATGTGGGTTGCCTAAGAAGATAGATGATATTGCATTTGGATAGTATAAAATAATTCGAAGAAATGCTATTCTTACTACTGTAGAACATGTGAATATTAGATATGTGGGGTTAATTCTCCATTCTGTATTTCTACACATTTTCCATTTATTTTTTAATGGTTTGTGCTGTGCAAACAAAACAACAAGGTGACTTTGTAACGATAGAGCCGCTATGCTTTTGCCTTGTCTGCTGAATTTATGTTGTTTATTTATTCAATGATATATTTTCTAGTAGTAAAATATCATCTTGCCTTGATGTGAATCAGTACACTACTAATTGTTGTAAGATAGTGGAGCAATCAGATTTTTTTGCACTTTTGCTTACGGATTATTATGCACCAGAAGTATGCATTTGAGTCTTTGAGTAAACTTGCGCTTCTTTTTCATAATATTATTTTTTTTTCCCTTGAATAAGTTATCTTACTTCTAGTTATTTCTGCTAATTTAAGATTTATTGTCCCCAGACTAATGAATTATATATTTGATATAATGATTTAAGTTCAGTTTTCAGTTTATGTAATCTACAATTTAGTCTTGGTTTTGATTTTGGTTTTATCTGATGCTTTTATTTTTATTCTATTTTTGGGTTGTCTTGTTTTTCGTTAACTATACAAAATCAATATATTATGCAACAGTTACAGGGAATCAGATCCAGTGAAAATTGCAGTCGAAGGTGTTGAAAGATTCAAGAAAGAAAATTGTGATCTCATAATAGTTGACACCAGTGGACGGCACAAACAGGAAGAAGCACTTCTTGAGGAGATGCGTCAAGTTTCTGAAGCAACAGTATGTTTCATTGTGCATTCAATTCTATTTTGTTGAGACTTTTTTTTAACAATGATTCTCTCGCTTGTAGAAACCAGATCTTATCATCTTTGTGATGGATAGCAGCATTGGTCAAGTTGCCTACGATCAAGCTAAAGCATTCCGGGAAAGTGTTGCAGTTGGGGCTGTGATTATCACAAAGATGGATGGACATGCTAAGGGAGGAGGTGCTCTCAGCGCGTAAGTTCAAAATAATCTTGAATTCGATGTTTGCATAATGATTAAGATGGGAAAGATACACCATATCATGTTAGGTATTTGCAAATGTTTCTCATCTCTTACATCGAATAATCTAGTGTGCAATATGAGTTTAAATATGGCAAAGATTTTTTAGATTTTTAGATGTATCTTCCAATATTCAAAGTGACCGTAAACCAAACACCGGTGAAAATTGAACTTTAGTATGTGTCTTCCCCTGTTGGTAGCTGTTTAAAAATGGCAGTTTGAGTTTTACATATAACATATCATTCAAGGAATTTATTTTAAAATTTTTAAATGCTCTATGTTTATATAGGCATATATTGCAACCTACAACTATATGCTATTTTGTGACAACTGATAAATCTAATTTTCTTCTGTAGAGTTACAGCAACAAAAAGTCCTGTCATATTTTTAGGAACTGGTGAACACATGAATGAGTTTGAAGCATTTGATGTTCAACCATTTGTTAGACGTCTTTTAGGTTTGGATTCCATGTCATACTTAATGAATTTGCTTCTGGTCTACTATTTTCATTTACTATACATTTCCTACACGATCATCCTTACAGGTATGGGTGATTTGTCTGGATTCATAGAAAAGATTCACGAAGTCGTTCCAATGGATCAGCAGCCTCAGCTTCTTCAGAAGCTTTCTGAAGGAAAGTTTACACTGAGGATTATGTACGAACAATTTCAGAGCATGCTTAAGATGGGATCTATTGGTCAGGTTTGTCCATTCCCTATCCAAACATATCTTTGCATTAGCTGCTCAATAACCGACTTAAAGGCTTTCCTTGTAGGTATTTTCGATGCTTCCAGGATTTAGCCAAGAGATGATGCCCAAGGGCGGCGAAAAGGAAGGCCAGGCGAAGATCAAAAGATACATGACGATGATGGACTCAATGACTGATGGAGGCAAGTTAATCCCATTTGAGCTAATTTACTCGACCTCAAATAGTCTATATCAATTCCACTGCTATAATATGCACATAAACATTACAGAGTTGGACAGTTCCAATCCAAAGCTAATGAATGAATCACGAATGGCGCGGATAGCTAGAGGGTGTGGTCGATCCATTAAGGATGTAATGGATATGATGGAGGAGTACAAGAGGCTGGCTAAGATTTGGATCAATATGAAGGGCCTTAAGATCCCAAAGAAGGGAGAAATGAATGCATTGTCGCGAAACATGAAGAACTGTGAAGTACAAGAGGCCATTCCGCCGGAGATGCTCAAGAAGATTGGCGGCGCCGGCGCCTTGCAGAACTTGATGAAGCAAATGGGGTCTGCTAAGGATATGATGGGTGTGTTTGGCGGCAGGCGCAAGTAGAAACCACCGGTCACTCTTGTGGACGCGGCGCAATGTCGAGAAAAAAAAAAAAAAAAAAGATAGCCATATTTTGATTGATTGTTTTGTTTGTTCATAGCCAAGGCAAATTTTGATTTTCAGTTAAGGTTCAGTTTCACAACTCAGCTGCTGATTCTCCTCCTAGTGTGTGAATTTGCTTGCTATAACTTGTGTTGTGTTCCTTCTTTGGTAAATGTTAGGGAGGAACTAATTGTGTATATTTAGGGGGATTACATGCTCAAAAGAAAATTGTGAAGAATTATTTATAAAGAAAATTGTTTTAAATATTACACTTTTTATTTTTGTAGGTGTCATTGACACTTCTATGTTTTAAGTAATTTACTAAATAAAACATAATATAATATATAATACATTCGAAACCTCTTTATTTCTATATTTCTTTTAAAAAAATAAATATTTTTATTTATATTTAAAATTTTACCCCTTTTATTAACTTAGTTTATATTAATTATAAATAAAATATAGAAAGTATATATATATTTTTTTATTTACTTGAATTGTAAAAATATTCTTTACAAAATACAATTCATATTGCATATTTTTTTTATTACAATATAATTTTTAAAATATTTAAATAATATTCTAATTTTTTTAGTCATATATATTTTTAAAATTATTAATATTATTAATTATAAAAAAATTAATAGAATAATTTAATAAATCACTATTATTAATTCATTATATATATTTTCCTTAAATATGATGTCACTAATAAAAAGATCAATTATGACTAATGAAATACTATAATAATGATATAATTTGAAAAAGATTGGCCTTCACTTATATAAGCACACTGATGTGTGCTTGAGTGCCCGCACTTTATATATATATATATATATATATATACACTAATGGTTTCTTTGCAAGCAAATTTTTTTACACAATTTTTAATATATATAATAGATATTTTATTTAAAGTAAAATAATAATTTTTATATTTTATATAATTTATTATATCTTTTATATATATATATATATATACAAAATTTCAATTAAAATACTAAATAAACAAACAGTTATACATATAAATAATTTTTACTTTTTATAAAATATTATATTAATATTTAAAAAATCCCAAACACAACATATCCTATTAGTATAGGGTCAATGATAATTTTAGACTTTGAATTATTTTGAGAATAATAAAAAATAAAATAAAAATAAGTATGATTTGTGCTAATGATGAGCTTGCTCGAATGCTTTTTAATGTTAATTTTTGTTGCATTTTAGAAATGAGCTAAACATATTGGTAGTCATTTTGCAATATTATAAATTTGTTCGAAATCTTGTTTGGTACTATTATTATTATTATTATTATTATTATTACATTTTTACTACACCGTAAGAACTTGTTTGAATTGTTTTGGTTCTATTTTTTTTTTTTAAACGTGGAACTTGAGAGTATTTGGTAAGAGAATTTTTTATTTTGTATTTGAATACGAAATTTGTGAGTGAAAATAATATATTTTTATATAAAATAATACTCTGTTACGTTATTCAATTATATTATCATTTTCCTATTACTACATCTTTCATTTAATTTATTTTTATTTCTTTTGTAATTTTGTTTTGATTTTATTTGAATTTTATTTTAAATAATATTTTATTAAAAATAATATATTTATTCAAAATGTATAAATTAAATAGTGATACTTTAATTTAAAATCAAAACTAAAACAAACCAATCAAAAAAACAACAACAACAATAATAATAAATCAAGTGAACGCACCCTTAGTTTGGTGCTATTTTTTTATTTATTTATTTATAACGTGAAAACTCGCAATCACTACTCGAAAGTACGCATTGACCTGATCGAATCTAATGTCCTGCAAATTAGGTCTGACAGGAAAGTCATACAAATTTGATCCTACTTTTGCAGCACCTAAGGTATATAATGTTATTTTATTTATTTATTTATAAAAATAAGGGAAAATCTCAAAAGATTTACACCTAAAAAAATTGAGCATGTTCCTTGATTAGCAAAGTGTAATTTGAAATTAACTTAAAATGAAATATTAATTTAAATTTTAATTTAAATAATATGTTGATATAATATTTTTTTATTAAAAATAATATTTATTTCATTACAAACGTACTTATTGAATAACAATATTTTTTTATTTTTTTTAAAAAATATTTTAATTCAACCTTTGCACCATTGGCTTCTTTGAAACTATGTAGTAAACCAAAGCAACTTTCATTGCATATTAAAATCGATCAAATTTTCGAAATCTATTTTGAAGGCATTCCTAACATTTCTAAAGCTTGTTCACTTTATATTTTAATGAATATATTTTTTTAATTAGATATAAAAGATTATGGTAGTAATATATTTATAGGAATCATTTCACTAAAAAAATATTAAGTAAACAAATTATATGAGTGTGTTTACTTGTTAAATTTTACATTTGATTTTACTATTTAAAAAATTTTTCCTCCAAAATATTAAATTAAACACTTATTTTTTATTTATTATATTATATTAAAATTTAATATTACTTTAAAAATATCACATCATACATATTTACATTGCATCTAACAACAACTTCAATTCAAAGTTTTACTATTCAAAACTAAAATCTTACAAATAAACGCACCTATATAATTTAATACTCCCTTCATTCCTACTACTGTGTCCGCATTAATGTAGGGATGAGAATTTAAAAAGAATATAATTAGTAAATAATTAAAATATAACATATAATAATTATAAATTAAAATTAAAATAATTAATTAGTTTAATTAAAATTTAAAATATATATAAATTTAAAATTTTAAAATAATATTAAAATATATAATTATTTATTTTAAAAAAAATGATATGAAATATAATATAGTCACGATACGTGGGACATAAAAGTATATTATTTTTATTTTAAAATATTAAATAATTATAATAATAATATCAAATTAATACCACTACAAAAAAGAGATGCCGAAAAATTAGCACAAAAAAATTTGAATTTGCTTGAAATTGAATTAGACATGGAAAATTAATTGAGGTGAACTTGCTAGGGGCTAAGCATGTATGATTTGATTATTTATAAATATATAAGTATTTGCTATTTGAATCGAATCGAATAAATGTTTAAAATTTTAAACGGTATATATTAAGATTTCAAAAAATTGTTCTCCATTATTTAAATTCTATTCGGTTCGAATAAAAATATTTTTATTACTTACTAATAATTCGAACGGAATAGAATCTTAAAAAGATACATCCAATAAATAATCAAAATTATCATAAAATATTCTCAAATATTTCAAATTGTATGAAACCAAACTTCAATTTTGCACATATATATATATATATATATATTATTATGCAAATATATAAATATAAATATTAATAATATTTACCTTACACGATATAACGCCCATTAATATTAAATTTGAAATATTATAATATAAATAAATTCGGCTTAATTTAGGTAGGTTAGCCCAACAAAATATTAAAATAAAAACCCAACTGAATTAAAAAATATATAATATATAGTATTTATATTTGAATTGTGTTTTTTTTTTTTCAATTAAAACTAAAATTTATTTCGATTTAATTGAATTTTTGGGTTGGACGATGTCCACTCACCCTCAAATTTGTTATTTAGAACATCCATTGCAGTTATTACAGTTACTATCTATTATTTCTATCTCTCTTATCCGAAACATTCTAATTTCAACATTTTTATTATTTTCTTTATCACACATTATATAATCAACTTCAACCTAATACTTTTACTATTTTATAAGGATTCACAATAATTTATTTATTTTTATATATTTTTATTACATAATATATATTAATTAATTAATTAATTATTTATAAATATTTATTTATATATTTTTATTGTTTAATATTTTTATATAATATTATATTTTAATTTTTAAATATGAATTTATATAAATTTTAATATATTGAACATATAATTTAGTATTTTAAAAATTGAAATTATTCGAAATAAATCAATATTTATATATATATATATATTTATAGATAATTTCTGTTAAATTTAAAATTTTAAAATTTCATATTTTTTTGAATAATATTTAATTACTTCCTCCGTCCCGGAACTAAGTATCTATTTGCTTTTTGCACGTAGTTTTAGAAATATTAGTATTATATTTGGATATAGTAGGAATAAAATATAAATGACTAAAATAACCTTATTAGTATGTGTGATATAAAGGTAATGACATTTGTGTAATATATTGTAAGTTGTAAGGGGTATTTGTAATATTAGGTATTACTTAAAAAAATGGATACTTTGTTATGGGATAGACTAAAATGGAAAAATAGATACTTTGTTATGGGACTGAGAGAGTATTATTATTTTTTTTTAAGTTTTTGTTGAAGGTAACCGATTTTTTAGAAAGATAATAGATACGTGATTGTTGTATTTCCTATTAAAGTTAATGAGAAAAGTAACTGGTTCTTACAGTAAAAACATAAAAGACAATTACAAAAGTAATAAAAAATGACTGTAACATATGCTCTTAATTAACTCATTAATATAACCTTTAGATTTATCAATAGTAATTAACTCATCGTATAGTAGTATCCAATTGTTAGATTTCAATAGGATTATGATGGTAAAATAACATTAGCATAATTTCATTAATAAGGTAGTTATGGATAATTTATAATTGCAGCTCATTATTCCAATTCAATATTATTATCACGATTAAACGAAGTTGCGCTATTTCTGAAGACGATCCATGAACCAAGCCACGATTTTCCTGAAGACGAGGTGAGCTAATAAAGAAGGTATGCTATTCTAACTAATATGTTGTATTTGGCTGGTTTATATGAATTAGAATATTTCATTAATATTTTTTAGTTATAGAAATTACCATATTTTACATTCTTTCCTTTCTCGATCAGTTGTTTGTAGATTAATCTATCTATCATCTTGTCCGGTGTGTTTATCATTTTCTCAATATTTCTTGTTGCCGTTGTTATTAAAAAAAATGGTGAAGAAGGTGAACACATCAAAGTCGAAGGAATTGTATGTGGAGTTCCCTTGCATTCCAGAAAAATAAACAATATTAAGCAACAACTCTCTAGCCCGGCCAACCATTTGAGGAAATCCATAATCCAAAACAATCGTTTCAATGGCGGCCTTCTGCTTGTCAATGCCCACTCTGTTTAAGTGGAGCTGATGTTGCAGTTACTTACTTTCTGAGATGTAGAGAATGAGTGTTT